TTGTTTTCCAACACATTAATAATTGATAAATTGCCAAACGATAGGTAAGTGAAGTAACTTCCGCTTAGACTTCTCTTACATCACAATTAGAAATTTACGCGTATTTACCTTCTTCTCGACCATGTTTTATGTTTTCCAATGTAGAAGTTAGTATTTGTAGAGGTTGATAAAACTCCCGGTAAAAGATTCGGGTGGAAGAATTTCTGCTGGTGTAAGCTAAATTGCTTAAATCCGCACCACAGTACTCAGGTAATTACGTATCAATAGTTATTTCTTTTTCATATCTTCATTTGACATTTTAAATATGAAGAACACATTTTTTCGCAAAAACGTGACACAAAAATTAAGTTTAGAGCAACTGAATATTCCGAGTTTATACAAACAAACCCGGAACGTCAACAACAAAAAAAATAGCCACGTCACTGCCATGACGTTATAAGAGGATCTCAAGACTTCCGTGAGGTTTTTTTTTTTTTTTTTTTTTTTTGATAGATGGTGAATACAACATAATATTGTTATAAAGGTTCAATGCTTATGCAAGTTTTACTATAAATACATGATTTGTACCATTTAAGTTATAAGCTATCCAATGAAAGTTATAATAATTATGCACCATACTGTTCACATGGAAACCATAATCGCGAGACTGCGATGTTCTTTTTGACAAAAAATATATCAGATCGAATTGTAAACTCGCAGGATAGCTTGTGAATGTTCGATTAGAGCATTTGTGGTTGAATAAATGATCGTTACGATGTATCTGTTCGTCATTTGTGTTTACCTTCATTCATCATTGCATTATTGTATTGTTTCATCTCCCTTGTTTCTTAAAAAGCACTCGTCATTAAAACAGAATGCAACATTTTGTGTCAGGAAGTAAAATTGATAAGACTGATTATGGCAAATTTACGGAACATTGAAAAGATAAAGAATTTTCAGTGGAGTGAGGAAACTTCACAAACGAAGAGAGGTACTTTGTGTTTAGATATTATTTCCACAAATGAATTTCCACTGATCAAACTCCTGCAATAAACAATAGCATAACGAAAGCATTCATTGATGCACCGGGAAAAAAACAGGAGCTCTTAGAAGCTCTTCGTTGAGGACTTTTTGGTAGAGCTAACCCGCATTTGCGTTACATGAAAAGGAAGACCACGAGAACCTCCCATGATCCTAACCCATTATCCGTCTACCGCTGAGGATATTTTACGTCAGCATTGTAGTCGGGGCAAAGCTGGATGCGGAATTCACATCGACTGGGATTCGAACCCGGTCCGCCTCATTGGAAGGCAAGCGCTCTATCCCCTGAGCCATCACAGCTCAGCATTTAATCTAGAAACTCATGACCAAAAACTTGAAAATTCAGATTTTTAATGGTAAAGACAGTTGGGCTGTGTTTAAAACATAACTCAATATGACTGCCAAAGTAAACAACTCAGTTGATACTTTGAATGCTGTCAATATCATTGGATGATGTTTCTGCAGATATTTTACGTACTTTACCCGAAAACAAAAGAAAAAAATCAGATGCGTTAATTTCTGTATTAGAATTCAGATTTAGTGATAATTGTATTTTAGGGTTGTACGGCCTTCAACTAAAGTTGAGAGTACAAAAATTATCAGAAAATCTTCTTTGCATTATCGCACTATCCGTTTTCCAGGTTGCTCGTCCGAAATTCGTGAAACATAAGCAGTCAAGTATTTTGTGAATATTGTCCGGGATCTTGAAATTTTAAAGTTCTTCGAATTACGGATCACGAGGTCTTTTAGACTGCCACGATTCAATCAGTAAAAATCGAAGCTTCATTTTTTGCAACTCAATAATTTCTCAGGTCAGGGAAGGTGAGGATAAAATCGGTAAGGATATTGAAAATAAGTTAATTACAGAGAAGCACTATGAAGAAATCAAACAAGACAGAGTCAGAGACAAAAAAAATTTTTAAGAAATTAAGAACCGATTTCAGGAAATGGCGAGATGTCAAATATATATATATATATATATTCTATATTAGCAATATTTAAGATTTTTATAACATCAATTAAAAAATAACAACTTTCTTTTGCATGAATGAGTAAGCTATCCTTTAGATAAAAATAGAAGTAAAACTAGCATTGATAATAATGATTTTGGACTTGAAACTGGTATGAAAGAAAAATATTTAAGTTATTGAAATTTTTCTTGTTCTTCTTATAAATCACTTTCATATTTTCATTTTTTCAATATTGGAAGAAGATCTAGTTTATATTTTTAATTAAATCTAAAGCCTGATACGGGATATCTAAATCTTACATAAAAAAATTTCATAAAAGATATAAATTTTGATTTTGCTCTTATAAATAAATCTCATATTATCTCATGTATCTTTCCCCCTCTCAACGATCATGATTGAAGTTATTTCTTCTGAATCTTTTTTTTCCTCTCAAGTTTCACCCCAAACACAGTTTTATTTGGTGTTTTTTTCTGAGTATTATTGATGAAAAAGACATCAAATTATGTGTGATGAAAATATCCATATAAAAATATTTTAAAAGAATTTGAATAGAAATTCAGTTCAAGTAAATATTTAATATTAATAATGTGTTTTGAAGGATGATTATTAAAAACTAGATTATTAGATGATTATGAGATTATTAAAGTTGAAAGATGATTACTAGAAACACCTTCAAGTTTCAACTTCCAATTTAAAGCTGTTTTGATGTTTGTTACATCCACCTTCCTCTATTCTAATTGATGAGATTTTGATAGAATTTTTGTATTTTCCTCGGTTAAATAATGATTTTCAATCCCATTTTGTGGATTTTTGTTTTTGACAAAAATTCTAAGATACATATTAATAATATATGTTGCCCCAGTGACAATAGTTTTCTTAACACCTTATATGTTCGTGCTGTTAAATTTTATGTTTCGTTTGGTATTTTCCAATGAGATTTGACAAAACACATATAGTGCTGTAATTAAAAGAAGCTTTGTTTAAGTTCGGCACATTCTATCATTTTTAAACAAACAAATTTTAATTTTCTTAATAGTTTTCTTAATAGTCTTATAAAGAATTATGCCATATGTTTTCTAATTTATGACTAAAATTTTATACCTGTGAAGGCTTATTATAGAGATATCAAAGTCAGAAGCTGAACTAGATCAGTGTTCCACAATCATTCAATCAACTTCCGTTTCCATAACTCCTATCTGATGATTCGTATACCTATACCAACTGATTGATCTTTGATGGATTGATTACAAAAAGACGGATAAGTGAAGTGACGTCATCTTCGACATCTCTATAATATTTCTTTTGTTTCTAATAACTGATGTTAGATTGCTTATTTGTTTCCAACATGCGTTATTACTTCAGCATTTAAATTATGAGACGAAATTAAAATTCTTCAGAGAATTTATTTATTTTTTTAAACATTTTGAAACTATTCTGTTTATATGAACACACTTCGAAACAATTACAAAAATATTGCATCTGAGCAATATAACGTAAGGGGATTAAAATTTAACATAAAATGATTAAAAAAACGTTTGCAAATTAAGAAAGAAGACGAAAATCAGTAAAGGTGTTCAAAAGTTATGGTGGAAAATTTGATCTATAACAATTGGTTTGAACAACAGAAACTCATAATTTTGATATTGCGTATGAACAACATGGTCCCGCAGTGGACTGATCGTTAGGACACGGTTCCCAGCAGATCACCGAAGTCAAGCATCACTGTCTACTGTCAGTCTGCGGGTGGGTGACCACTTGGATCAGTCTGCGTATGGACTGAGGGTGTGCTGTATTGGTTCTCGTTAAACTGTGCTACCGTAAAGTGCTCGACTTCGCGCGCAGGTTGTCGGGCTACAGAAGAGGGGATGCCATTCCTTCCGCAGAGGATTAAAATTGTGATGGCATGTCTTCGGATCATCCTCCGGGATGTTTCCCAGATCATCGCCAATAGCCCATTGTGCAGCTCTAGTACGACGTAAATTAATAACAACAACAACAATGAACAACATGACGTAAGAAAGTCGCAATTGCTTACAAACATCCCAAGAAAATTTTCAAAAACTGAAAAGAAACACGTTTCAAATTGATGCTTCCGTTCTTTAGTTACTAGAATACGTCTATACATGCAGACAGAATAGAAAGGATGAATGTTTAGAGACCTATTGTTAGCTAGTACATTAAATTTAATAAATTAATTTATTGGTTAAATACAATATACAAACAATATATTTCAAATGAGATAGTTTGAACACGCAGACGTTTTAGATTCCGAACCCAACTTCCACCCAAAATGCCTTAACACAATAATTGCCTCAAGTTCAGATAGTCACCATCTTTTACAAATCTCATAAATATGCTTTAAATAACTTAGTACCAGACTAGAGAGGGTGAAAAAAATTATACATAAGAAAACAAGTGTATCAATTTCTAATTGTCTCTCCACTGTAGAATTATCCTAATACTATTTTATTTTATTTAATAGCCAGCGTTGAACAGCCGACTTAATTCTGAGTTTATGACTCTCTAATCTGGATAACTTCGGAGTTGTACTAACGAAAAAAAAATTTAATGAAAAGGAAAATAAGTTATGTGTACCATTAGTAAATTAATTATAATTAAAATTGGGGGTCATATGTATCAATTATAACTATCTTAAAATTTAAAGGTGATGTTACAATTAAAATATATATACAAAGAAATGGATTGTAAAATTTGACAGAGGTATTCAGTCGATAAAGTTTAAGACAAACAAAAAAAAGGGAGATTAATTAAATAATAAATTTTGATAATAAATTTGGATCATCATTAATTGATGGAAAGAAAAGGCCAAAAGTGATCGAAAATAGTGGAAGGACATATTGCTTAAGTGCCACGTGAATTAACCCAACAGCAAGGGCTCGTGGTCAAGATAAAGTTAAAGGACGACTGAATAACATCTATAAATTTTTTTACGTTTGTGCAAATAAACACTGGTCAAAAAAAAGGAAATAATATGAGAATGTTACTCACCACATATTATTTACATCATGGAGACAGGTCTAATATCGGACATTCTGAAGTGATGAAAACCAAAAGAAAATACAACGCTTAACTCGCTCACAAGTTTATTTTTAATTGTTCATTATCTTACAACAGTATCAGTTTTGGAATGGGATGGGTGGTCCGTCACACATAAAAATACATTTAGGCATCGCAAAAAAAATATAACTAATGAATAACGAAAAATGGCAAAAAAAATAACTTTGGGGTGGTTTGGTATGGCTCGCTGACCACGAAGGTCAGCTTACCAGCCGCACCGCAATCCCCGAGAGAAGTGTACTTGCGAGTACCAAAAACGATAATAATAATGGCGTCCCTAAAGCGCGGGAAAATGCGAGTTGAAAAGCAGGAGAGAGAACGACTGTCATTGGATGGGGGATTACCACACGATTAGGTCACCACCAATCAGTGCAAATAGTACTCCCACAACATACCAAAAAAGGAGTCAAAAGGAAGAAGTCCCCCCAAAAAAGGCGTGAACACCCCGAAGGTTCTAGAAAAATCTAGAAAAACCGACCGGAAGAATCACGTGCAAAATTGAAGGTTACATGAAAGTGATGGGAAAAGAAGTTAAGTGGTGACGTAAATTAGAATGTGAGGGAAAAGAATTCGTCCTTGAAGGACAGTGGGGTCAGACGACCTTGAATTGCAAAAGGTGAAAAGGAGAAAGACACAAAAAATGTGTTGCTAACGTAAGAGGAAAAGAAACATTTCCAATTCTCTTCACAGAAAAAAAATGAAGAGAAATAAAAAAATAGGAAAAGTACAAATACTATTAACTATGAAAGATTTGATCAAATTAAATTTAAATTACTGACATAAAAAAATCGTCACACAACACTGTGACATCAAACAACTAACATTAAACTAAAAAGGAATTAAATTAAACAATTAGAAAAAAAAAAACGTCACACATCACTGTGACAGGAGTCAAGTAAGTTTGAACCCACCGCAGAATATAGGTGAATTCCTGGATCAGGCAGTGGGACAAACTAAACTTTGGAGGACTTTTTAATGGAACAAACGCGCATTTGCTTCACAAGGAGAGGAAAATCATGAAAATCAGCCACGATTACCCAGACGGCATAGGGTTTATAACCCATGATCTGTCTACCACTGAGCATATTTTACGTGAGCACTGTGGTGAGCCTTGACCTGGGAACAGAATTCAGAACAACCAGCCACAGCCGGGTCACGAACTTGGTTCACGTAATTGGGGGACGAACACTCTTTCCCTTAAGCGACTGATCCTAGTGGTATAATTAAGTTTTGTTTAAACTTACAAAGAATGTCTTATTGGAACTACACTATCAACAGTTCGATTCAACTGTTTCAATAGATCCATGCCTAAACTGCGTTGATCGATTTTGTCAAAATAAAGAAAATACAACTTAGCACTTTAATCGGATAAAAGAGGACTACAAAACAATGACCTGGGATTACAATTGGATATAAGAAAAAAAAAATTCAGATAATGAATTAACTGGACTTCAAATCGGACCTAGATTTAGCATTGTTGTTGTTGTTATTTCTAATGCCACTTGCCACACTAGCAAGCCTGCTTGGTGAAACCGACCAATTTTAAGGCAGAGAGTGCATTTCTTGCTTTTCAGTGGCTCCATCTATGGCCAAGAATTCGTCTTCAGCCACACACACGTCACACCCGTTTATAGGGCGAACCCATTCATACATCCATTCATTGATCCACAGATCGTAATATTTGACCCGAATCAGAGAACGATTGATCTCCAATCCAGTAGCCCTAGAGGTATTTATTTGTGATGGGAACATGGAGGACTTTGCGACTCGATGGATTTAACGTGAATCAGTCACCATTTACTACACTGAGAGTCTTCGGCCGGCGGGGTTCGAACCCACTAACTCTCGGACATGGGACAAGCGCCCTACCGACCAGGCTATTCCGGCATAGATTTGGTATTGTTAAAAATGTAAATTAAATTTTAGCCAGCTTTTTATTTTATTTTTTTAAATTTTAAACCACTAATCTTTTGTTCATTTATTTTTGATATTGTCTTAACACTTTACTGTAAATTACGCTTTTATTAAGTTTATAAAATTTAATTAAAATTCTACGACTGCACGATTAAATTCAAATTAAAATGCATTAAAATGAAAATTAAAACATAAACATTATCACATAAATTTAACTTATTGAACTAAATACAATTCTCCAGCTTTAAAATTTAGAAGAAAACATTAAGATGTGCTGTGTTATTGCAACTTTTATTAAAAGTTTTCAGTGTATTACAGAACTTTTCAATATGTTATCAAATACCAGAGAATTATCTTAAAAATGGATCTTTTAAGTGTTTTCAAAGGTAACATATTTTTTCAAATGAAACTTTTAAGCCTTCAAATTTCGTGCAATGGAACGGTTAGATCCTCAGGGATCACTGATATCGAAGTAGTAGATCGGAAAAAAAAGAGTCTGGAAAATTCAGAAGATTACTTTACAAAATGTCAAAATTGCTACTGAATCCTTTGGAGAAATGCTGCAAGTTCTGTTAAACATTAAGCATTACTTTTAGTAGAATTTTCGCTCCGAAACTCTAAAAAGAAGTTCTTCCTCTTTTCCTTGTACTTCCAATTTGCCTTGGATCAAAAATCAATATTTACGAAAGCGAGAACTTCGTTACCCGTTTTCATTTGATTTATTTCTCTATATATCATGGAAAAGATAATTACCATCCTTCCGTTTCCATTTTCATTGGACAGAAAAAGCACGTGATATTGCCAATAATAAATATTTATGATCCATATATCTTCGGTTGTAATCAACATAAAATTAGTGAACCTTATGCTTACTTCATAAAATTAGAGAGCATAAAAACAGTAAAGTATATACTTAATTTTTATTAAATTCTCTCTAATTTAAAGGTATTTACCCGCAATATTTATCATATGTTCCTTTAATTATATTACTTTAAACTTCTGTTACATTTTTGATTATGATTATTATTTCAAATTAAAATTTTAAAGCAAAACGGTGTTCCTTTATTTTTTTATTAAATACTCTATGATATTACTTTATTACGCAACATTTTATGATATGTATATTTAATTACCGTTTCACAGAAGGAGAAAAGGAAATATAGTTAGATTAACGTACTTGCAGAATATTGAAATTTCTGACAAAAAGAAGAAAAAAAAACTTAATTTAAATAATAATTAAACCGTAATATATGATATTGAAAACCATTATTTTTTTAAATCTTTGTGTTCACATGCTGATGGCTTACCAAAAATTCTGGTTTTTAAAATCCTACTGTAGTTATTATTTACAGGGTTATTCATAATTCCCCCCTGGGTTTCGAAGCGTTCTAGTAAAAAAACGAAGACGAATATGGCAAAAAAGAACATATGAAATTATTCCGGAAGTATTCAAATTTAAGCAGTTGCCGGTAGATGGCAGTAACATGTACCACTGAAGCCAGTTGTAGTAAAGAAAAATGGTGTTTACAGGCGGAGGGAATTATGAGTAACCCTGTAAATACATTTAGCGAAAATGCAATGCTAAAAAGTAAATTTTATCGAATAACTATTTTCTTGGCCATACCTTAATATACCATGATTAAATTACTCAAAACTTTTTCGGAATAGTAGATCATTTTACCATTTATTTGGTAATTTCAAACTTATGATGTTTATATGCCTTTCAGCAAATATGGACCATGGTGTTCGGTCCGGAAGGGCCGGTTTTCGATCCTCGACTGGCGGGTACATGCGATGCTATTAAATTTGGTGTAATCGAAAATCTTGTGATCGGTCACTGCACCTACACCATGGGTACAGGGATCTTGAGAAAATTTCCTTCTTCTTCATATCTATGTTTAAACAGAGGAAGTGACCTCCCAAATGAGATTTCCTCTGCAGAAGATCGAAACTGTGTAGGCATGTCTTCGGATCATTCTCAGGGATGCTTCCCAATTCGCCGCCAATATGCCATTGTGCAGCTCTAGCGTAACGTGAATAAAGTGCCGACCTACTATTTGCAAATGGAATAGTAATAGATTGCTTGCACTAGTATGGTTTATTTAATATAATTTAAATGGTGAATAGGAGTTAGGTGACGGTTTATTATTTATTTTCCTAATACATTTCTTGATTATATCAGATGGAAAATGAGCCTAAATGATTCTTTCAAGTGTTTAAAAAATAATATTCTCGCTTAGATAAAGCTGTGGTGTCTGTTGTATGGACCTATTGTGGGTAAAATGGAATATACTCATTTATTCACTTATACACTACCCTACAACAATGTAAGAGACACTCTTGGTTTTGTGATATTTTTTTTTGAATTTTTCAAGAAATACTTAGATGGCTATTTCATAATTTTAGAAGTGTTCATGTGACTTTTCAAACTTTGCAGTGAAGTTTAAAACTTTTAGACCGACAGTAAATTCCAAAAGAAAAATTCCATGTACCACTTTCAAAGATCAATGTGAAATTAAATTTCCATTATAACAAAAATAAACAGCTAATGCAATATTATAAATACCATTGCATACTTTAAATATCATTCATTAGTGCTGAACGGTATTTAAAGTTCCAAATGCGCGAAATAATTCTGTATGTTTACGTTAATAAGAAAACATAATTAAAAACTATATCGATGTGGTTTTTTAATAACTTTATCATATTTAAAAAAGAAACTTTTAGCGCATATAATGTTATGAGATAAAAATTTAAAATCTCTATACAAACTATTTTGGAAAAATATGTCTATTAATAATGTACAATGCTGTAAATTCCAAATCATATTTAACTAAGTAAAGTCGTTTCAGGAAGCTATTATGAACTAAATGCGCTTCAGTGCCATTTATTGAATCATTAAACATTTGTGAAAGCAGTTGTGGGAAATAGATTTTTGTTTATCTCCAAATATTAATTATGATTTACGAGGTTTATGATTAAAAATTAATTTTTAACGGTCGCTGGCTTCGTTATTTTTACAAATAAATAATTAAAATTTTAATTAGTACGGAGATTTATTTACAAAATTTCCAAAGTTTGAAATGTATTTGCATTTTTATTTATATTAGTAAGCAGTTATTAAATAAGGAAACAGTAAAAAAATACTAATAAATTTCAATAAGACTTCAGTAGTTGATTAAATTTAAGATTAAAGACACAAGCAGTGTTAGTTGATATAACGAATATGGAAATTTATTTTATACGTTATTTAAACTTTCATGTAAGTTTTGACAGATGTGTACATCAATTTAAGTATACAATCAGAATTTGTCATATCTTAAAATAAAATGTCCTTAATTCCAATAACCTATTACCCAATATTCCGGATAACCGACATTACCTGGAATTTCAAACCCATATTAGATCTCAAAAATAAAAAGCAAAACTTAAAAGGAGAGGTCTGTTTAAAATCCGACAGTCTTATTTATTCGCATATTCTCCTAGAGCAATAGAGTTATCAAAAATCATATTAAGCTTAACTATGGAAAGTTGCTTAATGCACAATAGTT